GTCCGACAAGATCACTGAAATTCGAACTGCGCAATCTTCTGTGAAAGAAACAGATGCCCCAGTGAGCTCTGCGGGTAAGGGGGATCAACAATTGCAGTTGAATCTGTCGCCAGGTAGACGTCTTGCTGTCAGAACCAAGGCGACGAATGTACACGGCACGTCCGAAACCATGTCACGAAGTCAAAACCTAAACCCTAAACCCCAAAACACCACAAAACACGCCACAGTTGACTTCAATGCTTCGAAGTCGCTGTGGCGAAGCTCCAAGACCCAGGTCCGCCTGGAAATCCTTTCTCGTATTCCGAACTCTTAAAGCAACCAGCTAAAAAAAGGTACCCTACTTGGAGGCCCTTTTGACTTAGTAAGTCTACTTAGTATCCCCCAGGAGCCCCATTATAATCCCCATAACCCACCTTACTAACCCTACTTTCTAAGTCAAATGGGCCTCCAAGTATAGTTGGAGTACCCGCAAAGGTACCCCAGGACCCTAAGTAGGAGCCCTTACAGCAAACCAATCTGGGCCTCTGGCCTCCTCTGGCCCTAGACCTTAAACCCCAAACCCCTAAACCCTCTACACTTTAAGCCCTAAGACCCAAAACCTAAACCCTCTAAACCCCTAAGCCCTAAACCCTCTAAACCTCTAAGCCCTAAGCCCCTAAACCCTCTAAACTCTAAACCCTCTAAACCCCGAAGCCCCAAACCCCAAACCCCGAAACCCCAAACCCTCTAAACCCCTAAACCCCCAAAAAACCCTGAAACCCCCAAAACCCTCCAAACCCCTAAACCCCAAGAACCCTGAAACCCGGCCTTTCTTCAAGTGGAGCTTGCGACGGAGCGGCCGGTCGCTGCGGAGCCGCCGAAGGGCTTGGCATTCGCTCCTGGGGGGAGGGGGGCCAAGGCGCCAGGTTTGGGGTTCGAGGGTTTTGGGGATTTATAGGGGCTTCGGGTATGGGGTTTAGGGTTTCAGGGTTTAAGGGTTTAAGGGTTTTTGGGTTTGGGGTTTACGGGTTTGGGGGTGGTTTTAGGGCCAATTTAAAAGGGTTTCGGGGTTTCAGGGGTGTGGAATTTGGGGTTCAGGTGTATATGCGGGATGAAGGGTTAATGGTTCCGGGGTTTAGGCTACTTGTTCTATGCAGGGGGTCCTAAAGAATTTCAGGATTCTGCTGTTACTGAAGGTCGTGTATATTTGCTTTGCGGGTTGGGCTCGCCAGGCTTTGTCTGTGTCATCCGGTGACTTCGGCTGACCTCGCCAAGCGGAGCTGCTAAGGATCAGATCACAAGAGGGCGACAAAGGGGCCTTCATCAATAGAACCCAGACACTTCGAAACTCCTGAATTGAGGAATATACCTTAAATCGTATTGGGGATCCTCGTCAAATTTAAGACATATGCCTTATTTAAGGGATTTTTGAGTCTCTGGCACTAGGGTCCAGGGATAGGGTTTTGGAGAAAGCAATAAGAGCTTTCTTGCAGTGCCCAGAACAATCAAAGACCGAAGGTCGCGAAGTCACAGACTAGTAGGATGCTGATAACATGTACAAATTTTGTACTGTGCGCTGTCTCATATACAAAATGGCCCTCAAGCGGGCAGAAGAGCCTGTGTTGCAGCTTCGCAGCCGGCAACTGCCGACAGGCTTTGCAGAATGTTGCAGCGCCTGGGGTCAGCCGTACATTCACTCAACCAACAACCCCACTCCATGTACCGTTTTCGTGCATATTTGAGCATAGAAGGAGTCCCTATATGGGCACGTTAAGGCCTAAGTCCTAAAGGTATATATGTATATATCATAGATTTTAAACTACATAATCACATGGAGTCCTCGCGTATCTACACGGGAGTTGAGAAGGGTCACATGATGGCCACATGGCTGTGGTGCAGAATGTTTATGGCAAAGCTTCAGTAGGAGGGCCATAGACGCACCATCCCTCCAGCCTTACCAGCCCTTCACAGCTGGAAGCCCGTGAGCATGCCAAGCGACGGCATCGAGGACAGCGTGTGCCGTCAGCGCCGACGGCTTTCAGGCAGCGACTGTACCAGGCAAGGTTGCGGAGGGTCGTGCCGCATGCGATCACATCACGCTTGCAGTGTTGACAGTGGCAGCTCCGGCCTACTTGTCTGCAAAGACCCTTTGCTGCTCAACTCCGAGCCTGCAGTACCTTGCCAGCGCCCAGTCGTGTAGCACAGCCACCACGGGGGCACAGCGGAAGACAACCTTGCACTTTGTAGGATCCATGCTGTAGAGAGTTCACTGCGATCAAGGCGCTGCCCTTGCCGAACCTCTCCCCTGCCTGTGAACTTCGCACCCTCACAAGATCCACCTGAATCCAATCCACAGGCTACTGACGCACCAAAGGCTCCTGCATCATGACCTGGAAAACCACCCCCAAAAACTACTCCAAACATATGGTGGTATACGATAGTATATTATGGTATAACAATATGTATATATATATATATATATAACAATAATAATAATCACAGCACTAATACGAATAATAAGTATTATTAAGGCCCCCCCAAAATGGCACTGAAAACTGAAACATGAGGGGACGACTCCTCGGGCCTCGCCCTTCGAAATGTTGCGACTGGCGACGAGGCCGCGGCCACTTCGCGTTTCCTCGGCTGAACTCGCTTGGACTTTGGGTTCAGGGTTTAGGATTTTTAAAGGGACTTAGAGGTTTAGGGTTTAGGATTTTAAAGGGATTTGGGGGTTTCGGTTTCAGGGTTTTAAAGGGATTTAGGGGTTTACGGTTTAGGATTTAGGATTTGAAAGGGATTTTGGGATTCAGCGTTCAGGGTTTTTCCATACAAGCTTCAATAAGGTGATTGACGATGTGTCTGCCTGCCAGTGGACACTTGAATGAAGCGGTTTCCCAGTCACAGGGCGGATCAGGAAACACGCACCTGCTTCCTGCGCGGGAACAACATCTACTGGATGCTGAAGGAATAGGTTATTGCAGCAGAACTGATCTCTTCAGAGACCCCCCCCCCAAACCCTAAACCTCCAACAAACAACATGTTTAACACCCCGAGAGCAAAGTCTAGCGGCCCTCTTGCCGTCTAGACATGCCGAGATCCAGGGTAGCGGTGACAACTTGGGATGGCCTCCTGAATGCACTATAACGATGGGCCCCCCTGAGCAACTCAATCGATGATGTCCATGCACAAAGAGAAGGCACAACAGTCATATACCACTTCACTAAGAGTTTGCGGAACTATAGTTGCTGGTCGAAGTTCCACCAAACGGATCGGGAAGCTGTCTTCCTCAGCGATTGCAGCCGGTTGGTGCGAGTTTGCACCAAAACTAGCACTGCCTATTCTCCATGGGCCGCTGCTGCCTAATATTGAACAGTTACTAGTAACTACTAGTAGGATACGGCTCTGGCTGGGGATATGTCACTGTCACAGTATACTTGTAATAAGGAGCCTAAGCACTAATATTGGCAACTAGTCAGGGAGGTATACTACATGCAGGGAGGAGCATGTGGAGGGACTGCAGAGCAGGTGCAGCTGGCAAAAGAGCTTCACATGGGGGGCCTTGAGAATTAGAATCGGGATTTGGGGGTATGGTAAATACAGCAGAAACTCTAAGAGTATCGTTAGTCTTTCAGGTTTCAAATTGCAGCAAGGGTCACTGCATGGCCGACAGGCAACAACAACATCAAAGCCAGCTAACTTTGCTGCAACCAGCTTCAAGACCGCAGTGTCGGGGCCTCAACAACTAGAACAGGGCTCTGGGTGTATATCTCCTGTATACCTGCAATCAGGAACCCAAAAATCTGTGCAACCATTCCGACTTCTTCGTGATCAGCTATACCCCATTAAGGAACAATAGGAACCCTTACTCAAGCCTGAATCTCAAAGCTTTCCGAGCCGAGCTTCCATGCTGCTAGGACCCGGTTGGCATTGCGTCGGAATTGATACGAATACTAAGATTAATACTAATACCCATCCTAATACTAAGATTCATAAACCACTACTACTACTACTACTACTACTACTACTAATGTTTCTACGCCATGGACTTCGCACACCGGCATTGCGCAAACCGCCGAATCCATATCAAGGCTTCCAGAGTCGCAGGATGACCAACAACCGGCTTAGGGTGTAGGGCAGGTGTCCAACTTGCAAGATTTTTTCCGAAGTTGTAGATGTAAAATGGAGGCCGTAATAATTGTAGGGGGGTTTGGGGGTACATTATGATACAAGTAGAATAGGAACCCCAAGGAATAATATTACCAACTATTTAGGCTTCTACAGTCTCTTGCTCAAGCAAATGCACACGTCACAGAGGAGGCCTCGAGCCGAAGCATGCCCGGTGCTACCGTTTTCTGCATCTCCGTTGCATGGAGACGCCAGGGATGCTCTCAACATGAACGTTTGGGGTTTAGGGCTTAGGGGTTAGGGCTCTGGCTTCATCCCCACCTTCGTGCGCAGTGGATTCGGAGCAGTCAGATTGCGAGTCCTGCATACTGACATGTAGACCTGAAAGCTTTGGATTCATCTCAAAGCCCTCCACAGTTACCTTCAACGGCCCCTTTCTTGAGAACACGGAACGACTGGACCAGATTGTGGGACCTTCCTGCGAGGCGATAAAGAGACAAATAAATAGACAGATGGATAGACATATACACCGATGGGTAGACAGACAGACAGACAGATAGAAGAATCGATATGAATGATATACATAAGGTTGTGATCTGGGGAAGGCATAGATGTCTGTCTTGAAGGCCACATCGAACACCCCCTAGTGAGACCATGGACGTGCAAGTAAGAATTTGGCGACAAACTCACACTCCCGAGCCCTGCAAGACTCTAAGAATTGCACAACCCGAAGAGCTAAGCCGTTGTAGAACCCGGTATAGGTTCCTGATTAAGAAACCAAGGCTTTTGAGTACTTATAGGACCAGGGTGTCCAAATAAGGCTCCGAGAATAGTAGTTCCTAACAAAAAACTACTACCAACCATGTAGGTACTCAGGACCCTAAAGCGACGCCAGCCTGAGTGGCGACGGATGTCAGGGCTGAGCGCGTGAGCTTCTTCGGCCCCTGCGGCGTCAGGGCGACTTAGAACGGTGCACGGTACTTAGCAACTGCACAGGGCCATCAACATTGTATCTATACTTATTATGAATCGTGATGGCCCCAGTTAAGGTAGGTATACATAACTGCACTTACTAAATCCCATGAACCGCCAAGCGCGACAGGAAACATTCTGACCCAACAGGAAACAAGAAACTCCGCACCTTGCGTTCACAGCTCGGGCCACTCAGGTTCGATAGCTTGGAGACACTACACACATTTGCGGAACAAACCGCTTTTCTCAAGATGTTTAAGACCAAACCCCAAACCCAAAACCTGATCCCGCAAACCTGTGAGCCCTAAGCCAGAAATCCTAAACCCTCCAGGCCCCAAACCATCGCAGGGCGCTTTGCCGAGTAAGCCCCCGGCGACAGCCAGTGCTGCGGCCGCAGCAAGCCCGGGACCTGGGCCTCTGCATCTTTCTTGGTGTATTAATTACCTGTACTACTTTGGGGCTTCCTTACTCTAATTATAGTATAACGGGCCCCAAAACCCTATTCTAATCATAATTAATAATCTGTGCTTTTATGATGGTTTGAGGGTCTTGTCTGTAGGGGCATAATTACATCCTTTTGGTTGTTTGGGGATCTTCGGGACAAGGGTTTTTGGGCTTTGGGGGGGTTCCTTTACAGGGGTTCGGGATTTGGGGTTTGAGGTCTTTTTGTGGATGTCTGTGCTAGCATGGTGGTTCAGTCAGGGTTTTATACGGCGGTTCAAGGTCCTATTAAGGGATCTTCGGTCCCATGGTCTGTGCATTTATGGTGGCTTAAGGGTCTTGGCAGGATGTTTGTAGGGACATTCATATATCCTTTTGGGTTTGGGGGGGGCATAGGGTTCCCTTAACGGGTGTCTAAACGGGATCTAGAAGTCTATAAAGGCTTTTGGGTTCCAAGGTTTAGGCTTTACGCTTTAGGGGTTTGGGTCTATAGGGTTCAGGGTATCGGGTGTTCGGGTTTCGGGACTTTTTAAAGATCTCTCTCTGTGCTTTTATGGTGGTTCAGCATGGGCTTACTATTACTCAGGGTAGCTTTAACGGATTTGCAAAAGCTCTTAGGATGCTTTTTTGTAAGATGGTGTTGCTGAGATGCATGGTGGGTCAAGCACTAATTTCAGCCAGAAGGCACATGTCGGCACTCCGCAAGGGAGGCGTGCACGGAAGTCCCAAAGAAAGGCAGCGAAACTGAAACTGGAGCCCCAAGCCTAAACTTAAACTTAGTTTCGGGCACAGGCCTCCGCCTTTGCTGACGGGGCGCCCTTAGACCCGAAGGTGCCAGTGAGTCCCGAAGCTCTTCTCATCTCCCTTCAAAAGAACCCGAGGAGGACAACCTTGCTCTGCGTGTACCCAAACGGTATATACTTTGGCCCTAAAGTACCAAGATAGGGTCTTCTGCAAGGCCAAAGTATATACTATTTGGGCACATGGACCTTAGGGTTTAGGTTTTAGGGCGCAGGGTTTAGGGCTCAAAATGACCAGCCGATCGCCGCGCCTCGTTGCATCAGCAGTGCAACTTGCGAGCGCAGGCTCTCAACCTTCGGGGATCTCAAGGGTTCCTTTAAGACATACCAAAATAGGTACTACTTGTAGTTCAGACTGGTAAATAGAAGTTATGAGAAACCCTCTTGGAATTACTAAGGTTCCGTATGTAACACACTTCTGATGCTTCGCAAAGTCTAGGGGGCTAATGGGCTTGTCGAGCTGTCCCTGTCAATGTAGCTGCCGCGAAACGTTTGGTCTTGCGCTTCGTCTTAGCAGTTTCGCTTGCGCGTACAAGAACTGTAACATAGCGCCTCAATAACTAGAATAGGGTTTCGGGGTCCATTATACTAGAATTAGACTAAGGAACCACCAAGATAATATGGGTAATTATTAAAGCCCCTACATTACAAGTGAAGGCCGACATTGGTGAATCAGGCTTCTCTGCAGACTCTCCGGGTTCCTGTGGTGGGCCTGCAACCCCAATGAGTGCTCTACGGGATCTGGTCAGAAGTACATCATACCCTGCACCCTAAACCCACCCCAAAACCTGGTGGTTGAGAATCCATCACCGTCAACTCCCAGGGTTTCAGATCTTTGGGGCCGGAATCCCCCCCATCTTCGCAAACATCCTCTTTGCCCGAGACGGCAGCCTCTTTCTCGAGGTCGCTGCGCTGGCGCCGCTCTAAGGACAGCTGCCGACGCTTCTCCTTCAGGCCACGGAGTAAAATGCAAATCCGGCCCCGGTTGCCAAAGTATACACACAGCCGGGTATTCAGGTGAAAGGCTGCTTGGGGAGCCGGCGGAAACCCTCCGACGGGAAGCACTCATGATCCGAGCATGATAAAGCTGATGGGCATCAGAGTGATCCACTAGTTGACAGTCGGTTCTTGGCGAGATTCATTGGGAGCCTAATCAAGCGTGAGTCTACAACGAGTCGGCGGCAGGAACATAAATCTCAAGTGCAGCACCTTATTTGGCGCAAACTTTGCCCCCGGTCGCGACGTGTATACTGCTAAGGACAGACACCTGCTTTCTCCAGAGAGGAGCATGCCACAGAGGTGTTGCGGGTCCGCAAACGAGAGAAGTAACTACACCCTAAACCCCAAACCCTAATTAAGATCGGGGAATTACACAGGATGCTCCACCCGGGAGCAACCAGACTCACCTGGCATCTGTCCAATGCAGCTGGTTCTATGGCCCCAGTGCAGTTAGCAAGGCACCAAGCTCCAGCAGCTTTCTTATCTCGGTGGCAGGAGCAGGACTCTGATGGATGCGCGACAGGTTACGGAAGGTGATGATGATGGCGAGGGGGGCCGAAGAAGAGGATGATGTGGGCGATGTTGATTCCTGCCGAAGTTTGAGGAGTCGGGTGTCGATGACAATGGCGGTCTCGATATCTGCGTCCGAGGGTGGAAAGATGCGGGAGCGAGCCTCGCTCTCCCTTAATTACTCTGGCAGTCTTGAGGCGTCCAAATGCAGGGTGTGCCGCTGAAAGACGTACTCACCAGCCGTGGACGGCTGGCTGTAGTGTACGGCTGCATCACCGCTTCTTTCCAACAGACCCCTTTAAGGACTCCTTAAGAGCTCTGTTTCAGGCATCCTTTAGAGCTCTAAGAGCCGCCTTAAGGGATCCCATCCCTACCCTTCACGGCCGTGGCCCGCATCAGAACTCCCTGCAGGGCTCCCGAGAAATCCAACAGCGAGGCCATTGAGCCGACAAAACAGCTAACAGGTTGCAAGCTTTTCTAATGAGATTACTGATGATGAAGGCGATGATGATGATCATGGTGATGGTGATGATGATGATGACGAAGGTGATAGCAAGAAGAATAAGAGCATGACATCGATGATTAACGATGATGATGGTGGTGATCGTGGTGATGACGGATGGTGGTGGTCATGGTCCTCGGTGATTGATGGTGGTGGTGGTGATGATGCTGACTGAAGCCTTCACCATTGATTTTCCACTGTTCCTACTGCCGTTCATCCCAAGCAGCAGTAGTAGCACAGAAAGCAGCCCTGGGCAAATGCAACCGAGGCTGTGTCTTTCCAACTACATGCACATACACGCATTTGTGTATCAGTACCTATATACATATATATATATACATCTATGTAACGCATAATGCCGACATGTACACATACACCTGTGGACAAACACGTACACGTTCTCTTACTTTTGTGAACCGTTGTTTCTCTGTTTCTACAGGAAGGTCATGTGGAAGGATCTTTACCAACAACATCGGCGTAACATCTACCGAATGATGTCGCGGCGGTCGTGGAATCCGATTATCGGAGCAGGTACAGCCCAACCACAGGACAATTGCTTTGGATGATCTTGGCTCAACATGGTGCCTCGCTGACACTAGAATCGAATCAGCCCGCACTGCATGAGACCATTTCGCAAAGATAAGTAAGGGACCCCGGCACGCCAACAGAAAGCACATGAGAATACAAAGTACCGTTGGCAACTGCACCTACTCCCTGAGCAGTGAAGCTTCGTGATCATAAAACATCTGTCATGAAGTAAGATGGCCCTAGCTCCTTTGCAAAATGGTCAAAAGCTTCTTGTTGCAGCTCTCGCAGGATGGTTGCATCCGACTTCTGCTGTCCGAATGCAGACTGAGAGAGCAACACTGCATGCCTTCGTCGGGTGCGACGCCTGATGTAGGAAACTAATTAGGAAAGCCTGATCCTTTTCAAACTTAAACATATCAGGATCCATGCAAAAGAACCCTAATAAAGACCCAAGGTTTCTCAAGCAGGTTCCTAGACTATGAAGCCTCTACCCCCAAACCCTTATAGTACCCTTATAGAATTCGTATAGAACCCTTATTCCTTGCCATGCCCGGCGCCTCCGATCGCTTCGAGTGCCAAGCATGGTCTGAGAAACTGGCGACCGCTTCGTTTCCTGTCCTGCATCCTTGCCCACCCGAGGTTTAGGGGTTCAGGGTTTGGGGGTTTAAGGCTTTAGGGTTCCAGTGGTGGGGATGTGCAGCGTCTTCCATCCTTCTTTTTGTTGCCCGAGCAAGCCCCCCTGAATTCCCCTCAGATTTGCAAGCACCGCCTTCTCGACTGCTGCAACAGATGTTAGGCTACCTCTTTGCACTGTGGAGGTGTGGACGACGACGCCAACAAACATGAGAAGCCGGAGGACGAGTTGTGCAAAGGAATCTTGTCTCAAAGCCTGAAGGCAACAGTGGATGAAGTGCTGCCAGCAGCGCGGTTCCAATATGGAAGCCTGAATACGGTTGAGAATACTATTCCTCAGCATTCCATGTTGCAGCCATCAGAACTGTATACCTGACAAACCAATTCTAGGTATGTGGCCCCCTGTGTTGAGCCCTCGAACCTACAAGCCCCATCTTAAAGCGGCTTGGAAGGAGTGTTACGGGGCGAGAATATCCTGATAAGAAGGACCCTACAATTTACTATCTAGATTTCAAACTAAGGGTCCGAATCAACCTAATCGCTTTCAGATGTTGCAGGCTGCGCTCTCGTCCTGCCTTGTCTAAATAGCTAAGGACGTCTTAAAGGGCTTTCGGAAGTCTTTCCGGTAAATGCCGACCCCATGTGCCGACCTTCCCTGCAGAAGCGAGAAGCGCAGTGCGCGTATAATCCTCTGCTGCATGGATACTGGCAACTCCTTTCGCACTGATGGCCAAAAAGAAATTTTCATACAGCTGTAATTAAACATCAGCCCAACAACCATGTGACCAGGCTCAGGGAACAAGGCACGGCTTTCGCATGCGGGAAAGACATATCAACACCACTGTGTGGTCTAGACCCTAGTGGACGAACGACTCGCGAATTCTTGCACGCAGCCCCGCGATTGATCGGGAATATCAGCAGACCAGCATCCAGTCTCCGGCATGAAGATTAACTGCATGGCATCTTCTAATTGCATAATTTCAACCTGTAACTTTACTCAATCATCTACGTGGTCTTATCTCTTGCATCTCTTAGTGACAACAACCACAAAAACGATGTCCTCCGACAACCAGTACAAGCAGTAGTGATCTGGTTAAAGTCGTACAGACGGGGTGAAGCTACGTTTCAAGCTCACGGATGGCAGCTGCAACTTCTGGATTTCTTGACCTGCCCAAGGTCGTGCTGTTCGGGAAATAGCGACAGCTGTCTCCGATACTTTTCGACGCTCTGACACCCCGCCCCCCCAGTAACACGGGGAGAGAAAGACAGAGAGAGAGAGAGAGAGAGACAGCGAGAGAGAGAGAGAGAGAGAGAGAGAAACGACCCAAGGCCTGATGAACTTTCGGCGCACCGCCTGCCAGGGCGACTGCGGCGCTGCCTGCAGCTACAGCTCGGAAACGCCATACTGAAACTTCTTTGCCTCGGAGCATCTAAGGATTCCTAGATAGGTTACTACAATGTGGGCTGCTTACTATACGGGGTTTCAGGCTATGGGATCGTCACGGCGTGGAGTGGCCGCCACAAACTCATGGACTCGTCGGAATTGGCTGGGAAGGTCCTGACATGAAACGACTCTCACAATTCATAAAAAAACCCGGCATGTGCAGTGCTACATGACCGGGTTTTGATACGGTGCCGAAGCATTCTTCCAAGGCCATGCAATGTTTAAGCTCAGAATCCTAATATGGAAAGCCGTATGGAAACACTACGTTCTACCCTCTCAACCCTACGCTCCTATCACTCCAGGCCCGGAACATCAACAGCAAGAACATTATCAACGGAAATTCGTAGCAAGAGTTCCAATAATAACATCAATATCAACCAGCAATTGCAATTAGTCGTAACGGTAAAGCAGTAAAAGAGAGACAGTAAAAGAGAGACGACGACCACGACGACGACTACTACGACTGCTACTACTCCTTCTCCTCCTGCTCCTGCTACCGCTCTCCTACTGCTAGTTACAGAAGAAATGAGGACAATAGTTATAATAAGAGTAGTAAATAGTAGCAATCAGCCCAGTCATGCCCTAGCAAATCCCAAACACCGCAGACCAACCTTAAACTATGAACCCCAAACCTTACCTATAGTATCCATTGCAGTTCCATTTTTTGTTAACCAGTTTTTGGCTAGGACCCTATTATATAAATTTGGTTAGCCAAAGAAGGGAACCACAATTTATGTGTCGAACTGCGACGGGAACAGGGAGCAAGCAAGCCCCCCCGTTAAGGGGGGTTGGGGCGTGAACCCTAAACCCTAATTGAGAAGAGTTGGGCAGTCCGGGTGGTTTGGGCGGGACCACATGCTGACGCAAGCCCGGGATAAGTGGGCGCGCCTCTATTCCTAAAATAATATGCGCACCCACCGTGCGCACACGGCATACACACCCTAAGCCGTAAAACTTAAGCGCTAAACCCGCACCTGAAGAAGTCGGCATAGGGTCACCGCCTCGGGTATCCCAAAATCTATCGACAAGCTGCGACCACGGGGTTCAGGGCTCAGCTAGGCTTCCTTTAAGGGGGGTGCTATATGAAGTTTAGGGTTTAAAAGTGAAGTAGGATTGAAGGTTTAGTTTAGGATATGGGATTTGGGATTTAGAGTTTGCGAGTCGAGATTGTGGGGCTCACGAGTTCAGGTGTGGCGCCCCCGAGCATGATTCAGAAGAGGTAAGACATCTGCCGGCCAGAGCCTGATACTACATCCAAACCCTAAACCCTAAGCCCCAAACCCCGAAACCTAGTGAAACCCTGCAGCTTTGATTCTAAGACCTGCACTTTCGAATAAGGTGTAAGGATTGCTTGCTTTGGTGCTTGGCAGCTTTACCTTCAGCTCGGAACTGTACCCCAAAGCCCAATTCTGCGTATTACGGCCAGACATGGTTAAGTGATGCGGGAGAATACTACCAATAATACCTATACGTATAGTAATATCATAGTATGCCAAACATAAGTACGGCTGCGAGTAATGACAATAATACTGCAGGCACCGTCTCTAGTCTCTGCTGCAGAACCCTTATAGGGCCCGTGTAGTAACACTTTATAAATCCCTTTGCAAAGAATCAAAGACCCCTAAACCGTAAAGCCGCAGAAACCCGAAAGCCCAATCCCTAAACGCTAGATGCTAAACCCAAAATGCTTGACCCTAACTTTCCCACAGATTCTAAACCCCAAGCCCTAATCCCTAAACCCAAAAACCCTCAAAGACATGCTTAAAGGATTCGGTTCCACACTTTCCTCAGTTCTCT